TAATCTGCTCGATTATATATTAAATTTAAGATATGTACCTATATATCTGTTTGGCTGAGAGTGCCAAAATCTTCCGCGCTTCTGGGGGCTATTTTAATTTTAACTTTCTTTGTTTGTGGGATATAGTTGACAAGGTGCAACAAACTGGTTTAGTTCCTTGCGTTGCTTTGTTCAAGTTTTAGCCGAAATTTTTATGACAATGTGATAATAATGAAAATATACATACCTGAGAAAAGCTACTTTTTACCGATTATTTTTGGGGGCTCGTTCCGATACGTCTGGTGATTAAGTTGGTGTTTATTTTTGCCTCTTGAAAACACGCCTTGGAAATGTTTTGGAACACATTCACGGTTAAGTAAGGCAAAGTCATTAAAATCAACGGGCGTTAAGCTAAATATAAAGTTGTGATTGGCAGCCAACTCCAGCCACGAGTTGGAGTTGGTCTCGACACACCGACACTCCTGTCCAGAATTTGTAAACCACCTTACTCAGTTACTTCTCGAACTGTCCAGCAGGAATATAAATTCATCATCAAAATGCAGTCGTGTTAAATGACTTATTTAATTTAATGAGTAGTTTCGTATTCCACACTCATCGAGATAATTTTCCAAAGCCATCTTAATCTTCCCTTAATTGATTGAAGGAATTCCCACATTCACCTGAATAGTTTCCAATTCCCATGAAATCCCTAATCAATTTTAATCATCAAGTTAAATCGATTTATTAGCCAAGATGACACACTCATCGTTTTAGGTCTTTCGGGTCCTGGCCAGCAAAATCCCCTCCGACTTGTTATGTTGCAGTGACTCTGGGAATTTTTCCAACATGTTTTTTGTTTGCCTCACGTGACGCAAAATAAACAAACAGACAACAAAAAATTGGCAAAAACAAACCAAAACAAACACGAAAAAAACAAAAAAAAACGAAATGCGAACGAGGCGCGCGGCTATTTTGCATATTCAAATGAACAATTTTACTGCTAAATGCGGGCAATAAAAGCTCAGCCGGCATCATCTTTGGCCCCCACAGAGTGAATCAGCCGTAAACGAGTTGATCTTAGAAAGCAAAGAGAGAGAGAGAGAGATCCCCCTAGTCTGTCTCCCCCTCACCAACCATTGAACTTCCATAACCATCACGTGATTGACATATCATCGCCAAGTGGCTGGTGGACTCCCCCTTCGACAGACAGCTCATCGACTACATCGGAATAAGATATATAATACTATATACTTACCGATCGATTTGGGAAAGCAAAACCTCAATATTATACACTAATTAGCTACAAAAATGATTGCCATTTGTAATTAATGCACATAATTGCTGGGCCAGATTGGTGCCGTAGAATGTGGCTTAGTAGAATGGAATAAAAAATTGCTAACAAAAAATTATATTGAGAATTTTTGAAATGGACTCGTAATTGTATTATTAATTGAGCTTAATTGAATTATGAATAATATTTATAGGAAGTGCTGTTGGTACTGAGCTCTGTCCTAGCACAGATTTGTATTCTCGGAAGTCCCCCGGCAAGGGCACCGAACGAGGGCTGGGAAATTCAGCTCAGTAAAGTGGATCGCTCAGCAAGGCTGCAAGATCGTGCGATTCGGAGACGGGGAAATAGGCGATCCAGAGCGTAAGGTTGGGGAAAACCTCTCGTTTTGCGGTTTCTGGTATTTATGTTTTTTTTTCTTTTATATTCTTAAGAAATATTATTGATGTTAAGAATTAAGAAATAGTAAGTGCTTAAGTTATTAATTTGGGTTTATTTCCTGCATTTTAGGAAGTTTCTCTTTTTGAAAATTAAACTCCCTTCTCTCTAATCTTAGTAAAAAACTTCTAAAAATATTGATAAATTCTTTTACTCTTTTATTTCCCCTTCTCAGTTTCTAACAAGAACAGCTAACAGGAACTGCTTTCCCCGGATTTTTCAAACTTTTTAGCATTTCATGCTGGCAACTTTGATTGATGGAATTGGACACAAAAAGAAACTGTACTTCGATATTCCCAGTTTGGGGCAAAAAAGTGGACTACGTGACCGAGGCAAACATAAACACATTTAATTTTTTTATTTTTTTTTTTATTATAAATAGAACAATGAATGTCTATGGCACAGTAAAAACCCAATAAAAAACCGAAAAGGTCGTTTCCAGCAATTGCCGCCTGTGAAATTTTTAATTATAGAATCTAATTTGTTTGAACGCTCTTTTATCTTGATGATTGATCATTAGGTCTAAGAAATAAAATCAAAAAAAAAAATAGTAAAAATCGAAGGAAAAAAAAACATAAAACAAGCGAAAAGAAAAAAGTAAATCCGTCTTATGTAACAAAACTTAAAAATTGCAAAAGCCAATATCATCGACCTTCGCTAGCGAACCAAATTCAGTTCTCAAAGGAGCCATTTCAAATTTTTTTTTTTTTGGGAAACAATTAAACATTGTTTAAGGCGAGGCAGATAGAAAGATAGAGGGGGGGTGGGGTAAAAGCTTATATAGACTGTTTTACTGATTATGGTTTTTGATCATGAGACTTCAATAAAACAACAAACAAACTGGTTAAAGGGGGAGGGGCTTTGGGTTAGGAAATCCGATCGGAGAGATCGCTTAGTAGCTCTAGTCAACCGTTAAAAGGTTCACGGCCAAGGACAAGGAAATCCCAGTGAACGGCCACCGCCTCCATGAATCACGACTAAAAAAACTGAAACAATTTTGTGACTTCTGAAACCTTGGGCGTGTTTGCTCGTATATTCGTTTGCATATATTGTTTGCCTCCGCCGCCGCCGTCTCTTATATCTAATACTTTTTTTTTTTTTTTAGAATGAGCTAAGCGTATGCGGCGTGCACAATTAAATTTAAATATTTTAATACATAAGAGAATTAAACAGCGAAAATAGAGGCTGTGCCTTGATCATGCAGCCCCGCCACATCTCAAAGAACAATAGTAGAAAACTAATGTCGGAAGAAAAGTTTCTGCCGTTTCGAGCCGTGAAGGCATTCGAACGTGTGAGAGATTAAGATATAAACTGTATCTAAAAGCACTCAAAGCCACAGAAAACCTTAAACTTAAATTATAGTTTGATTGGCTTACTAAAAATATGAAACACAAATCGGAAGTAAATGTTTTGGCCAAATGTGAATGGTGTCGAGGCAGAGTTGGGAACTTTTTAGCCAGTCACCTTATCAGCAGTCATCATATAGTTTATAGGCTAAATGGATTACTTTCTTATAGGGATTAAACAATTTTTTAATATTTTTATAAACCCTAAACCCTAAACTAAAGTGATCTGAATCTGTTTCCTAAGAATGTAACACTAAAATGTACCCAAAAGCATTTCCTATCTCCCACAACCCCTCCCCGTTGAATCATAAACCCCACTCTGATCTTTTTCAATTTGTTTAATGGATCTATCAGTGTGATAATTATGTTTTTGCTACTCCAGATGTTATACAACCTGCCTGAGGGGACTTAATAACTTAATGCGGATCGCATTAGATAGACGTATATATGATGTGTTAGCTCATTATCGGGCTCGTTAGCTCAATCAGTCGATTTGATCTACTAATTTGATCGGTTTAGCATTAGGAACGGGCTTAGTTAGTTTGTTGCTAGAAGCAGGCTGCAAGGATGACCGGATTGTTGGCAAGTACAAGTGCACATATGTAGATCAATGGCAAATCGCGTCGATCTCGAGCGGCGGCGCTAACTGAATTTGGTTAAAAAACATAAGGCTGCCAGCCACTGCCACTGAAAATGTCATTCGAATCATGGCGGCCCGAATGCGGCGTTGCAGCCTTGCCAAAGTTATCAGCTTACAGGACAGGAATATATATATAGTATATAATCTCGTAATCCGTCAGCTGCCATATGCAAATACCATTCGCCAGATGTTTTGACTTGGCTTTCAATTATGCCATAGATATCGATATTATAATATGGCTGTACTTAGTTTAATGTTCTACATTTACGCATACAAATTAGCTGTTAAATGTGCTTTTAAAATGTGCTTAATCGATATGGCCGGCTGGCGTAACGCCTACCTGCAACTCGGGCACGCACGTACTCATGCGATCCGTACTTCCTGTTTACCATTAGTTTGTTTTTCAGCATTGACTTTCACATTTGTGTCCCTATATGATCCGCTTCAGCATCCGCTCTAGTTCTCTGGAGATTCAGTTGAGTCATTCTAGAGTCATTCTAGGATCTAGTTGGGCTGGCTCGGGTCTTTGACAGCCATAGAACTTGCCCTGTTCTTACACCAAGAGAAATGGAATCTACGTTAATCCAATTTAGTCTCTAAAATGAAGCATTTTCATGTCTATAGATTATATTTTTTATATTTTTCATTCTTTTAAAAGTAATATTTTATATTTAGAAACATTTTTCTCCCAACCAAGCCTAGACAATGTCATATTTTTATTATTTTCCTCTGTGCACACGGCGTATACTTAACTTTTGGCTTGGTCTAGCTTTGTTTTGTTTTGGTTTTTTTTCTTTCTGTTTTCGTTTTTTACCAAATGACCTGTTGAGGCTTTTCAAATGACGCTCCAACGAGACAATTCCAAAGGCTTTTGGGGTATTCTACCATTGCGACTGACGCGCGCACGCGCTAATGGTTAACCCCGCCACTTTTTCAGCCAAGAGAAAACAGAAAAAAAAAACACACACACAGTCAACAAGAGGCAACAAAAACATGGCCAATGCGACGACGTTCTAGCCTGTTGCCGCACTTGAACTTGGTCGAGTCAGGCCCCGCGATTCTCGACCCACTCAGCTCTGGTGAGAGGAAACCCCACGGAATCAGCATCGCGGCATCGGCATCGGCATGGGCATCGGCATCTTGGCTTTAACCCAGCTCCAGCTGGGCAACTACGTCACAGCCGCGTCATGCGAAAACCAGTCATTGGAGCGTTCGTAAAACGTTTGAGATTCGTCGGCAATCGGCCCGAAACGTTCGTTTAACGTTGGCCGTCGGAATCTGGGGGTATTTAAGCGCTGGCAACTCGACCTGGAGCATGCATTGATTCGCTATCATTCGCTCTAAAGACTTGTGCCCAGCCTCAAGTAGTTTGCTGAATTTTGTTTGTTGTAATACAATTAGCTGACAAGGATAATACTTAATATCACCATCTTCAACGACATCAGTTTCGAGTTCGCGAAAGGATCGACAAAAAGTTATATAGAACCCAAAAAATTTCAAATCTATATCATTCCGCCGTGAATCCGAGAGTCGAGAGTCAATAGTTCTTGTCCAGCTCAATTCTAGACGCAAACATATTCAGTCCAGGAGCGTATTTCTTGCCAAGTTTCTTCAAAAAAAAAAACAAAAAACCCAGCCAGATCGCCAATAAGCAGTGAAAGTGTCAACACATTTCGAGTGCTTATTGCAAATCAAACAAGAAAAGCGTAACCAAGCACATAAGCAAATAGTATTCTAAGTGTTTTTGGCAACACTTTGCGTAAATTTTTGTTAACTACCCCATACGAAAAAAACAACCAAAACACACAAAACAAAATGATGGCCGTTGCAGCAGCCCAAAAGAACCGCGAGATGTTCGCCATCAAGAAATCCTACAGTATTGAGGTAAGTCTAAGATCAGAAAAATCAACAATTTTCCAAATCAAAAAAATTTAAAAGAAAAATCCAAATGACAAGATTTTTTTGGTCTACGTGACTAGCCAAAGGTTTTTGTGTTTTTTGAAGAAAAAAAACATATCGAAATCGAAACCAGTTGGCCGGGCGGGCAATCGGCCCATTTATGTGTTTTCCCGCATTTCTTTTCGCAAATTCAGTTTCAGTTTCAGTCATTTAACCAATTTGGTTATTGGCCAACTGACATGAGCGACACAAGTCTAAGAACAGGCGGCCCAAATCGAAAGGCGGCCCAAATCGCCAGCAGCGGACACAACGAGTCGTGTGTTAAGTTATTATTTAACAAATAAGTGAAAGTGGCTGCCTTTATGCCCCTGCACTTAGTAGCCTGGTCAAAAACAGTCGCACCTCATTGTTGTTGACTCGTTGTCTTCTCTGTTTATGTTTATGCTGCTGGCCGACCAAAACAAAATATGAAATCAATAAAAATGATTCAATGAGTTGGGCATCTTTCATCAGCCAAAGAGCTGGCCCAAAAAAAACATACAACAAATCCCACTGAAAAACCCATAAGCCGACAGTGAAAACTGCAACTGATGGAAACCTTTTTTCCCCCCCTTTCAAGAAAGCAACCTTTAACGGTCTGCCAGTTGCATTTTTTTTTTTCTCCCCGCCAGAATCGCATTGGGGATTTTCGTTGGCTTTCAGTCACATATTATTTATCTTCGCACCTGCCCTCAAAAGGGGCCATCGGTGACATCGCATCGAAATTTACATTCGAGTCTTTGAATCACAATCAATACAGTTCCATGAATAGCTCAGCCCGAACTCTATTCAAGAAATCCAAAGAAAAGATCTCAAAACAACGCTTTCACAGGTCCCATTTTTATATAAGTTTTTTTTCTTTTTTTTTGTATTAAAAATTGCGCAATAGTTTGACTTTAAAAAGTTACCACCCAAGAGTGAAAATCTGTCGAGCTGTGAAGGTCAAGGCAATCGTTTAATTTCCGCTGCATATCCTGAAAGTGTCACTAACAGGGCCTTGTCTCAATCTCTTCCAGAATGGTTATCCATCCCGCCGCCGCAGCCTGGTGGACGATGCCCGTTTCGAGACCCTGGTGGTCAAGCAGACCAAACAAACCGTCCTCGAGGAGGCCCGCAACAAGGCAAATGGTGAGTCTCAAAAGTCCAACAAGTGGGTGTTAGAAAACATTTTAAAGTAGCTTGAAATTGGGTTTAAATTTTGCTCTACAAGTGGTTGCTTGAAAATCTTTAAGAAATGAAGTTAAATTCTTGCTTTTTGTAAATTGAATTTTGTTTTAGTTTTTAGTTTTTATGATTTTTCCCCATTTATTTATGATTTCTTTTCTTTATTATTTCTTAATTTTAAAGACGATTCTCTGGAGGATTGCATTCTGCAGGCCCAGGAGCACATTCCTGCCGAGCAGAATGTGGAGCTCCAGGACGAGCAAGCCAATCTGGAGAACCTGCCCTTGGAGGACGAATATGTTGGAGGTTAATATCAATTCCCTTTTTCCTTTTCCCCTTGCCCAAGCTGATTATCTTTGATTTGATTTTGATTATGATTTTCATTGGGTTTTTTTCTTTATTATTTTTTATTTCATTCGCCTTTTTAGTTGAGGAAGATGTTGAGTTTGAGAGCGTTGAGCAGGAGCAGTCGCAGTCGCAGGAGCAGGAGCCCGAGGGCGAACGCCAGCCGACCAAGAACGGTAAGCAGGAGGGGTCGTTTTTACCATCCATAAGTAGTACTTAACTTCTGAGGGGCTTTTGAAAAGCGTGCGACATTGATTTAAGTGCTTAATATGATAAAGTGCCAGGGCGGAGAGGAAAAGCACTCAACACATAGCCACCACACCAGCCACCAGCCACACGGACAATTGAGTGGGTGGTCTACGTTGGTTGAAATGTCGCATTTCCCTTTTTCATTTGTTACGCTCGACTTAATAAAAGTATGAAATGCGTTTGCCTGGCAACCATCGCATTGGTGGATTGGAGGCTGATGAAGGAGTAGAACCGCCCACGTAGCCCGCTTATCGTTTACGTGACCCTAAGCCTTGGATGATTGCATCTTTACCATAATGTTCTTTTTTCTCCTTTTTACAGATTACGGTCTCACCGAGGACGAGATTCTGTTGGCCAATGCCGCTTCGGAGTCCCCGGAAGCCGAGGCTGCCATGCAGAGTGCCGCTTTGGTGGTCCGTCTCAAGGAGGGCATCTCCTCTTTGGGTCGCATCCTCAAGGCCATCGAGACCTTCCACGGTGCTGTCCAGCATGTCGAGTCGCGTCAATCCCGCATGGAGGGTGTAGACCATGATGTCCTGATCAAATTGGACATGACCCGTGGCAATCTGCTGCAGCTGATCCGTTCGCTCAGGCAATCGGGCTCCTTCAGCAGCATGAATCTGATGGCTGACAACAACATCAATGTGAAGGCTCCATGGTTCCCCAAGCATGCCTCTGAGCTGGACAACTGCAACCATCTGATGACCAAGTACGAGCCCGATTTGGACATGAACCATCCTGGATTCGCCGACAAGGTCTACAGACAGCGTCGTAAGGAGATTGCCGAGATTGCTTTCGCTTACAAGTACGGAGACCCGATCCCATACATTGAGTACTCCGATGTGGAGGTCAAGACCTGGCGTTCGGTGTTCAAGACCGTTCAGGATCTGGCTCCTAAGCATGCTTGTGCCGAGTACAGGGCCGCCTTCCAGAAACTCCAGGATGAGCAGATCTTCGTGGACAACCGTCTGCCCCAGTTGCAGGAGATGTCTGACTTCCTTCGCAAGAACACTGGCTTCTCTCTGCGTCCTGCCGCCGGTCTCTTGACTGCCAGGGACTTCCTCGCCTCTCTGGCCTTCCGCATCTTCCAGAGCACTCAGTATGTGCGCCACGTCAACTCGCCCTACCACACCCCCGAACCGTAAGTATCTATCATCCACTCTTTATATATACATTTTCCTAGAGGGGGTTAAAATCACTTCAAAAGGGGGGAAAAGTCTCTTTGTCCTTACCTAATTGCATTTGCCTGCCTCTGCCTTTGCCTCTGTGTGGGCGGGTAGTGGTGTTTCCTTTTCCGCTTTTCCGAGGCAACTTTTTTGCCTGGTATGCCAGGCAAATTGGCTGCAGGAACTGCGGCAGGATGGCCAGCTCATTTAACCCGGCTAATTGCTTTATGTTAACACATTTTCCACACACTTTTAACAAGCATTATTATTATTCTCTCTCGTTATAGTGACTCCATTCACGAGCTGCTGGGTCACATGCCGCTGCTGGCCGATCCCAGCTTTGCCCAGTTCTCGCAGGAGATTGGTCTGGCCTCGCTGGGTGCCTCCGACGAAGAAATCGAGAAGCTGTCCACGGTGAGTTTCTAATTGAGTTGCAACAACGAACGACGATGACCTTAGCCTCAAGTGCGGCTATGACACAGCTCGTTTTTTTTTATAACTATTTCTCTCAGCCAAGATCATTGTTTAGTCACTGTCAAAGTCACACAGAAAAGGTGCAATTCAATGATTTTTCCATACCAAAAAGTGCATATTTTGCTTTATAATCGAAAGTTAAAGTTTAGATTTTCCACTCTCAAAAATCACTCTTGATCTTGATGGGAGTTTTTATTTTATAATTCCCTTGCTTTTTATTTATTTATTTTTTATTTTCTTTTTTAATATTTGCAGGTCTACTGGTTCACTGTTGAGTTCGGTCTCTGCAAGGAACACGGTCAGATCAAGGCCTACGGCGCTGGACTTCTGAGCTCTTATGGTGAGCTTCTGCACGCCATCAGCGACAAGTGCGAGCACCGTGCCTTCGAGCCCGCCTCCACTGCTGTTCAGCCCTACCAGGATCAGGAGTATCAGCCCATCTACTACGTGGCCGAGAGTTTCGAGGATGCCAAGGACAAGTTCCGTCGCTGGGTCAGCACCATGTCGCGTCCCTTCGAGGTGCGTTTCAACCCGCACACCGAGCGCGTCGAGGTCCTGGACTCCGTCGACAAACTGGAGACTTTGGTCCATCAGATGAACACCGAAATCTTGCATTTGACCAATGCCATCTCCAAGCTGCGACGCCCGTTCTAAGATGGAAATGGGAAAGGGAAGATATATTGAAGCACCCAAAACACCGCCCAAAAAGTACACCACCCACAGCCCACCACCCCCCTACATTCTCATATACACATACAGGTGCAACGGTCTCATTTATACAAATTAATTTTAAATTGACATACCGCACAATCCCTCGTACACGTAGTCCTTAAAACGAAAAAACTTAAGGCATCGCGCATTATTTTTGATTTTTTTTGTTTTTTATTGTTTTTTGTTTAACTTTTTATTTTATTATCATTCAAAAGTTCTATTTTCTCATCTCGGTAAAGAGTAAAAAACGAAAATAATGCATATTTATTATTTGATCACCCGAAACACCACCCCCTCCGCGACCCGCATATTTATCACCGCAACTATTATTGGACCAAAAAATCGTTAGACGTTTAAGTGATGTGAAAACAAAGCCAAGCAAAGCGAATTAAGTGAAGTGAAGCCGAGAGCTGGGAAAGCAAAGTTCATCTACATCCGCACTTAGTAGGCAGAAAAGTACCACACAAAAAACCGATTGTATACTCAGACGCAAAATGTTTTTGTATTATTATTAATCATCATCATCTTTTTGTCTCTCTCACAATATTTACCTAGACTATATAGACACGCGATATAGTAGGACCGATATTGAAAATTATTCATTTCAAAAGAGAGATTAGTTTCGAAAAAAAAAAACAAAAAGAAAATCAAATCAATCAAAACGAACAAACAGGAAAAACCAATGGAAAAGATCAATATGAAATGGCAAAAAAAAAAAAAGAACAAAAAAAACAAAACAAAAGAGAATTTTCTTACATTGTACAATAACTGTAAACGACAATATTACTATTGTGTACTATTATTATTATTATTATTATCTATTATTATGCTTATGACTATTACGTATTGTATTGTAGGTATGTAGAGTTTAAACATTATTATTTTATTTAAGTTTTGTGTATTAATAAAATTAAAAATGCAATTGAAAAATAATTACTCTTTGGTTTCTTCTTTGGTTTACATTTCTTTCTTCTTCTTCTTTGGCAATTGGCAACTCTAAAGTCTGATTCTGTTTAGGGAACAAAATTAATGACATGAAAAGGGAATTTTCAACTTTACAAAATTTTAATTTACAAAATGTAAAGAAAATGTAAAGAGAGTGATGGAAGGGAAAAGTATTTTAAAAAACAGAGACAAAGTATAGTAAAATCAAATATATATACAAAATATTTAAGAACTTTGTTTGAAATATATAAAATAAACATATAACCTTGATCTACTATATATATCTAAACCATTATAAACTAATTAAAATGAAAACATTTTCAAGACTCAGCATTGGGATCAAGAATATTACATATTTAAAAGTTAACGTAGCGTGGAATTTTATTGTTAATGTTCGATGTAGTTGCAATTAGATCGAAAGCCAGCCAAGTGTTAACATTTCTGCAAGCAATTAGCCAAACTAATAACTAATTATAATCGCATATATATAGATATATATATATATCTTCAAGTTAAAGAGCAGTTGGTCCCCCAGCCAAGTATTATTGTTCTGAAAAAAAAATGCAAGAAATATTATAAGTAAGAAAAACGTGCAGATATCTCTCTCTCTATGTGTATATTTATTCACTATTATATAAATAAAGTTGAAACCGTTTAAACTTGAAAAGGAACTAAGTTTCTGGGTGGGGCTAGTTGGCACTTAACTTAACGCCCCCAGCCAAGGTTTTGGTTTTCTATTTTTCTTTTTTTTTTTTGCACACCTTGACTTTTTAGAGAGATCCTGTAGTCATGATTAACAACGAATGGAAAGGGGCCTCTGATGGAAATATTTTGATTCTATTCCCCAACCTATGCCAATTTATTTTAATTAGCCAGCTTTAGTAATTAGTCTTAATTACACACGAGCAGGCTATAATCGCAACAGCAGAACATTTCTTTCCCAACTATTTTTTATTCATTTTATCTGTCTAATTTTTGGTATTTGTGATTTTGATTAATATTTAACTAGCATGTAAAGTATTTCAATTAATTTTGTGATTATCAAAAGCTGACAGCTGTTTTCAGAAACATGACCTACCTCAGTTTCTTACAACAAAAGCAAGAAAATCAGCGATAAATAAATAACACCTGAACGGATTTATCATTTGCCAATTACAATACGTACCCATACGAGTACGAGTACGAGTCCGACTTTATTGTGATATAATAATTGGCTGTGTGAATCGAAATTGAATGTGCTAATAGCTTCGACTAGCAACAGCGACAATTAGCAACTGACGATCGGATGTAGGCGATATGGAGGGGACACGGACTCGTGGGAACGCCCACGTTGTCGTCCAATTATAATGATATTAATATCAAATCAAAACTATAAGGGACAGATGTATCGAAGCTGGAATGCCCTCGCAGGTGTGCTCAGATTCAGGGCTTGGGATTTGCCTAGTAACTGAGCTTCCAGAACCCTTTTGCAGGTGTTTAAAGTTTACTTTGCCTTTGACTAAATGTTATTTTTATTTTAATGTCCAATCTAAGATGTCAACTTAAGGGTCTTTTAGAAGGCCATTTCATGGGATTGATGAGTTTTCAATGAATATGTAGATTTCTGAAATAAATATTGGTTTGATTAGTTTCCACACTTGGTGTGAGCTAATTTATAGATAAAGTCTTGGGAATTCCCATGGGTTAATGTCATAGAATTTATGTGAGATATATTAGCTAATTAATAATTAAAACTGTAATGACTAGAAGCTCTTGCAGGTGTACTAGATTCAAGGTTGGCTCATAGGTTTTATCACGAACTTGAACTTAAGTTAAGAACCAAAACAAGTAGTTTATTGATATGATTATAATCATTCTCTAAAATGGCAGTTAACCTGGCTAATTTATAACCTGAACTTGAGTTAACTGACCAATATTAAGTACTTGATATTATAATAATAAACCCTGGATGAAGTGGCCTAATAATTTGAGCAGCCCTTAGGCTGAAACCTGAACTTAAAGTTTGATAATTGAAAAGAAAAATGCTGGGAATTGCCTAACAAATCGCCTGCTTCGATATACCCATTGGGGTACTTAGTAAACTATAGTAGTTAATGACAATTGCTGATATATCTCCATTATGGCTATTACTTGATACTAAAAAAATATGAATTGGCAGCGAAGTTTAGCTAGAGCTAAGGTTGGGCATTTATCAAGTTAAGTTGCCTTTTGTTGTTGTGGCTGTAATCGGGTAATTGTCCGACTGATTTGGGTCAGGCTTAAAAGCCAGCTAGCTGGCTTAGTTACTTAGCGTGGGCAAACATTTGCACTTGATTTCGATTTGCCAGGTAACCAGGTGGAGTACGTGCCGCTGGTCAGTTAGGAATAAGGTTCTTATGGTCTTCTGTCAAGGCCACTGAGCAAATGGGTTAGGGTTGCAGGAAACGCGAGGCTGACGCGGGTTTGTTGAACCGACAACGGCGAGATAATTGCCGGAAGCCCAATGCACTTTGCAATTAAACACTTTTCATTAATTGTTTAAGTTTAAGTTTTTTTCTCGTTCTGTTTTTCGGTTTTACACTGCCAAGAAGAAAATAAAAATCAAAATAAAAACAAGAATTAAGGCACTGGCAGTGGCAGTGCGCAGAGCTCAAAGAGCGAAACACGTTTCATTTACAGCCGCCGCCAACATTTCAAATTTGGCTAATTAAAACCGCGATAAAAACCCAAAATACAAAAGCCAAGGTTAGCTGGAGCTTGGCTTTGACAGTAGCCAAAGGAATTAACTAGAACATGTCTATGTGGCCATTATTGCTATTACCAGTATTCGGTACTCGTATCTCTGATATTTGGCTTTGGCTAATCGAATATCAAAGTCAATGACTTACATACTGGCATGGCCAAATTCTGCATTTGGCTTTGGCATTCTGGCCGCCATTTCAAGCCAATTTAATTGCAATCGAAACGCGAGTCTTGAACTTTTCAAAACGATACTAAATCTAGTCTCATACTTAGCTGCTGCTGTTGCTGCTGCTAGAAGAGCTGGAGGTGTGAATATCTGCAGCCAAACCGTTAGCCAGCCCACTGCCAACTACGCGGGGCTTTGGCCCGAGGCGCACCTGTTGGCCGGTTCTAATTTAAATGATCGAGCATTTATAATCGCAATAGCTCTCGGGCTAATTAGAGTATGGAAACGGGTTCCCCGCCAACCCCGGCAATCTCAAGTTTCCAGGGGATGGGCCGGGGGGTTTGGGTCGTAGAACCCCTTCATTTGCATATTCACTGATCGAACAGCTGGTCTAATGAATATTTAGGGGCGTGAGAGTTGCATCCATAAATAAATGCGATATTTATAGATAAAATGTTTGTAATGTTACTTAAAATTTCCCCAAGGGAAATTAATAGTTTTCCAGGGATTTGTTAAGGGGAAGACCTACGAACTGGCACACTTTCTTAGCTCATATCAGATTGATGTTTAAGAGTCTTAGGTATGTCTTTATTAGAATCTTTATTATTATGATTGCCTTAACCTTTAATTTATGTTCTTGTTTAAAGACATTCCAAGACCCACTAATCCATATACCATCTGGTTTTCTGCGGGGCATGCAAAGTCTCCCTTTAGAACAGGTAATGTCACGGGGACCATAATTAAAAACTATTACAGCACCAATTGGCTAGACAATTACGTCCACGTTGGCCAGCTGCGCGATTGCTAAATAGTTTAGAATACGGAATATGGCACCTGGCCCAGATAAGTGCTGCTTCAGTAGCTAAGGGCCCCAGATACCAAGACCACTTTCGATCATAAATTAAAATTAGAATTTTAAATGCGAAACTAATTAAGCAAAACTGCAAAGATAATAAGTACTAAAGGTAGGTGGAGAAAACCTGTGAGATTTCATGCCAAAAGCCGTCAATGTTGTTGTTAAACAATTGCAAGAAAATCGTGAATAAAATTTCATATTAGCGGTTGCCAGGCAGCCGCCTTGTCTGGCGTTTTTGATTCATTCAGCCAGATGGACAGCGGGGCGTATGAGCGATAATGATTGCACACTCTCGGCACGCGATTGCCCATCTTAACTTTTGGCTCCCCCATTCTGCGCATCATTGTTGACCATTGTCAATATTATGGCTTTAACTGGACAAACAAATCGGGTAACAGTCGCTGATACGCAGAAAGAGAGCTGACGCAATGTCAACAGTCTCCAAAGTGATCTGTTTGCCAGTCTCATCTCATCTTCTTCGAGAGCGTGAGCTGCAGCTAACTATGGGGTCTGGAACTGAAAGTCTTAAGTAGATTTACACGCTTCACTGGGCCACTTGTTGACTTTGGCTAATTAAAAGTCGTGCACACGCCAGACCCAAAGCGGAAGTTTGCTCAATGCTGGGGAAGATGCCAAAGGTCGGGTAATGGGTTAGGGAATATATCTGCTAAGTGGTGTGATGAACACTTTTTAATGATGTGTTTTAAGATGATAACATATAAGTTTGTAAAGGTGTTTAACCTCCATCGCTGCCAATAAGTTCGTTAAGAGGATCAATCCTAAAGAATAGCCACTTTACACTTCCTGAGTATGGTAACGCCTTGCAAAAGAGGAGAGAAATATTCATATTTTTCATATATACTTGATCCCCTTGGACTCACGAATGGAAATATTGCTTTTCCTGGAAAATCTCGCACTTAACCGAAAGCCTGTACTTCCGACTTCCACTACTCTTGTATTTTACCTTTACATTTTACATATACTCAACCAAAGCTAGTGGTGGCGCCACTTGTCTAATGTAAAATAAACTCGTTTGATGTAAAACAATTTCATCAAGCTTTTTGTTAGTGCTTGAACGCTCTCCAAAGCTAACTGCTATAAAACGCTGTTCCTTTTCCTGTGCATAAAATCACTAAATTTAATTTAAAATGCTTAGAAATTATAAAAACAAATATATTTAAATATTTAAAAAATGTTTACAAAATCTTAAATATATAATCTTTAAGTATTTCCAATAAAAACACATTAAAAACCCTTTTTGACTTTAGAAAAATTTACATTTATTTATATTTACATAAAAATCGCATCATCATCATCACCGGCTATCAGTCTTTTGGCAAATTGCTGTCGCTCTTCCCTCGGCTATAGGGACGTGCTCCGCCTAGCATCCTTTCGAGCAGACTCTGCTTGGATTTGCGCTTGGAGGCCAGCACCTCCTTGCACAGCTCGTTGAAGACTTCGGCCACCTGGTCCACATGGTCGGCGGCGGACACTTCACTGAACTTGCACTCGAAGTCCTTGGCCAGGATTTCGCCCTCGTCGCGGCTCACCTGGCGCAAGTGCACCATGTCCACCTTGTTGGCACACAGCTGGACGGGAGTATCGGACTGAAGATGGGATTTGGCACGACGTATATAGCTGAAACTTTTACGATCTGTTATGGAGTAGACTAGAAGGAGACCATCGGCCCATTGGACAAGCTCAGCGGCATTTGGGTATTCGTCCTCCGCCTGGTAAGATTGATTATTTTAATTAATATTATATGTAAGATTTATTAATGCACTTAACCCACCTTGGGACATGTGTCTAGTATTTCGAAGAGCACCGGTTCGCCATCCACCATCGCCTCGTGCTTGTAGCGATTCTCAGTCTGATGATCGTACTCCCCGATGTAGCGTTTGGTCAAGAAACGCACAATTAGGGCTGCAATTAAATTAAATAACCAAAACCATTTACTTAACATGAATTTAATTTATTGCCGTCTGAGTTATCACCATGATCAGGTGTAAACCAGGGTAACGCCCTCAAGTCTCGAGCCACCCTCGACCTGGATCTGGGTCAGCACTTAAGCGAGCGTGAAGTACGAGTTGTCCTGGCAGGACTGCCAAAATGTATTGCAGGGACAAAATGCAGGAGCACCCAGGCAGCCCAGGCAGGTGGCAAAATGCGCGTTGTGGGGTTAATAAACCCGGAATCGGCTGCCCGGCAACAAAACGCTGAGCCCTAAAGTTGCGTGTCTCGGGCCAACAAACATCGTCGTTCGTAGGCCTCGTGTCCTGTCAAGAGGGTGAAGTTCGTCCTGGTTTCGGTCTTTGGTCATTTCCTATGCAAGTCCTTTGAACTCGCGGCTAAGCTAAAACAACAGAAGTAGCTCTGGGAACTGAAACCTCAGGCGCCACTTCAAACTGGTATGACAATGTTAAGAATATACAGTGGAGCTTTTAGTTAGGGAACTACTATCTCTAGTAAGAAATTCCCATAGCTTAAAAATCCTTTTAAGTCTCCCAACCAAATACTAAAAACTAATGTTCTACCAGGCTATTAATTACGTTTTATCTCAAAAAACATTAATTTTATTTCATGAAAACGCTTTCAAATCTGATTTAGTGAGGCTTAACTGTATTTAATGCTTTTCTAGGCTTTCGCGTGTGAGTTTTTTGTATGGCTAGCGGTTGCCTTGGTTGCCTCGCGACTTTTTAATGACATTTTCATCATTTATTTTACCAACACCGCATACATTCGGCCTGTGCTTTTCCCTCAAAATTTATGTTTTCCGAATTCTCTTTTTTATTTTCCGCGAGGTCAACGTTTAAATTCTTCGACGCACGACGCCAGAATGGCAATGGTGATGGCGATGGCGATGGCGATGGCGTCTTCTCCGCCCGCTGGGCTCACCGATCGCGTCTAGATCTATATATCTATATGGCTATATGGCCAAGTGCGTATGTGCGGGTGCACGGTGAATTTTCCGACGGGCGGTGGGCGGTAGATGTGAATGTGGGCGATTTAATTGCCCCACCGCATTCATAGACATAGACAGAAGCACAGACACAGTCCCAGTCCCAGTTCCGCAGTTGAATTAAATATTTTCCCCCGGTCTTTGGTGGGTGATTGCGGCGGAGTGACATTAAAATATGTGGCAATAAATTTATTAAACATATATTTTTTGCCATTCTGTATGTTAGTAGCAATTGGAGGAGGAATTCCACTTGCTTTTATGGGCCAGGAAAATATAGTTTAGCTTTTGAGAGGATTTTCTTGTGAGTATATAAATTATTTGTATCAGCCTTTTAAGATTGATCTTTGAAGTTGTCTTTAGAAAAGTTTCAAATTGTAAAAGAATAAACTATATCTAAGGCAAAAGTCTTTCAACTTTATCCTCATCCATAACCCAACTAGACGTAGCTCATTCGTTTGTCACAAAAGCCACACCTAGTCTGTGGAACTGACTGACATCTAGCCTCTTCTTTTTTTCTTAGTTTTTCATCCGCAATATATTTATTAGTGGAGCATATTTTCTAGTCATATTTCATCCGGCTCCACTGTCCACACGATCTTCGGCCCCGTTGGTTTTCTCTTTTTCTATTTGCACTCAAAATTATTTGTGACCGCGGACATATAGCACGCAGGTGTAACCCGAAGTTGACAGCCGGAATAAATTTCCCCAGCTAAAGCTATCATGGTTGGGGGGGGAGGTCGAACAAAATGCTACAAATGAAAATTATTTTGGGGTTTCCCAGAGTAAAATCATAAGATTTGGCAGAAAAATTTGTACATTTTTTTTAGATTAATTTAGGATTAAAAAGCATTTTAGATTTTCTGATATTAGTAATATTGAGTGGCTGATCAGAAGGAAAAATTATTTCCCGCCAGGGACATAAACTACGCCTGGGTTACCTAAAGTTGACAGCGAATAAATTTCCCCGACTAAAGCCCATCATCATCATTAGTATCAGCCCTTGGAAGTGGGCCCAACAAAATGTTACAAATTATATATATTTTGGGGCTTCCCGGCATACGTGATGCCTGACAGGGAACATCAATTTATGCTAAGTCCGTTTGCAACGAAGAAATGTGCAACATCTCTGCAGCCAATGATCTGTGATCTTTCGAGTATCTATATACGATTTGAACCTATACACTGAGGGAAATATATTATTTTTTTTTTATGTTTACTTTGAAAGATGCAATTTATATTGTTTTGATTTAATTTTCTTAACAAAATGAATTGTTAAACAAAAGTAAGATAAATATTTGAAGATTTAAATGTTGGTTTTATTAATTTTGAAAAATTCCATATGCTTAAAAAGAAGTGTAAGAAGGTGTAATTTATTTTTATATTTTATTAAAAAAATTCTCATAGTTTGATCAAGGACTTATCAGATTTAGAAAGGGTTAAGATAGAGAGAGAGAGTTAATGGGTTTAACCCCCTTCTTTAACCCTTTTTAATGACAAAAAACACACCTATATCTCATTTCTCCCAGTGTACTAAGCGATGTGCTCATGGGTCGTGATAAATTAGAGTATGGCCTGGTCTTTTAACCAGAGCCGCTTGTCAAATCAAACGTTGGAAGGCGATTAAAGCGGCAGGCGATGCCAAAGTGCCAGCAGCCGCCTCACACAGATACACATGGACATAGATGTATGTATGGGAGTATTGGTCTTTTCGGGGGGAAAATTGGGGAATTGGGGATATCTGCATCTGTATATGTATGCTGCCACTTTATAAACAAAACAAACAAAAGTCTAAATATACACGAATCGGCGATTGCTCAACTAATTTGCTGTTGTTGCTCGGCATCCATATCCATGCCACTGCTGCTAACCAAAGTATCTATCGGATACCCGTCTGCTATTCCTCGGATTTGTATAGATCGTATGCGATTGTTGTGGAAGCACTTGGCTTTCATGGTATTTCGATTCTTACCGCTCTTCCCGACAATGGGCGCCCCGATCACGGCAATTTTCAACTCCGTCAACGTGGACTTCTTGCGTCGTATGCCTCTCGTGGTCATCTTCTCTCGTATTACCTGACTTTTCACCAATTTCCCAGTTAAGATAGATATATATATTTCTTTTTATTTCTGTTGTTACGGCGGGCAGGTGTATATATCCGTTGGCGTGTATTTTCTCCGTTTTAATTATCCGATTGTTATTGTTGTTTCATTTCAATGTCAAAACAAGCGCAAGAAATGCGTTTAAAATTACAGTCCCGCGCTGAATTTTGCATTTGTTTTTATTTTTATGATTTTTCCTTTTGCGATGGGTATGAGAGTTTTTTGTGGAAAATTAATGAGTTTTCTCCAGGTTGCTGCGGGTTATTTTTGAAATAATTTTCACTGATTTTTGTATCTTATGCTTTTGAGGCATCACAAAACGCGCACTGCACTTTCGACGCGACCGACCGAAAACTCATTTATTTATTTATTTTAACCATCAATTTTGCGTATTTCCCAGTCTGCCGATTCCGAAACGATTTGGAGTATGTCTTTTTCTTATTTCCACCTTTTCTCTCGTAGCTACTCTTGTGAGTGATCTTTCGGTATCTCTTGGATTGCTTTTTGGGCCCGCCCGCATCCGTGCGATTTGCGCGGCCAATGATTTTCTACTGAGTAAGGCAAGAGCGGCGGAATCTGTGCTACGCCGGATCGTCCGTTGGGGGATCGACCCGATGTCTCTGGCTTTTCGCGAGCATACCGAATGGCCACCAACCAAAAATAGACAGCACGAGCAGAGCAGAGCAATTCCAATTCCCCAACAATGTTTTTCCCTCCAACTCCCCTTTCAGGCACACGCCGCCCTGCAAAGGGTTAAAGTTAAATGATTTTCACTCGGCCAATAGGCTAATCGGTACCATCGAAAATAGCCCCATCGATGTGCCACATCTCCTCTGATCGCATATGGTATATCTGCCGCGATTTGTGGCTCGTTTCGAGAGCATCACCAACATCATCATCATCATCAACATCGTCGTTCTTGTGGCTGAAGACAAATGCAACTGTGAGTGGCTGCCGTCAAATGTCGCCTTAAATTAAATTTAATTGGCACTCTGGGTCCTGGCCAAAACAGCTGTCTTTGGGTGGCAACTGTTTCTGGATTTATATCCTCCTCCTGCCCCGCAAGTTGCAGAGCCCATTGAGTTCCTGTAAGCCATTGCAGCTGTTATGAGAGACAGTTAGAAAAAAGTTTGTTTGTTTGTTGTCTTTTTTTAGGTAGTTGCACCTGGCTTAGGAATTAAGTAATTACCATTTGGGGGAGGTTAGGGAGGGAGGTTAGTGAGGGAGGTTAGTAGAGATTACAAAATGCAGTACTAAATGGCAGAAATGAAATAAAAATAACCAAAAAGGTGTAAAAATATTACATTTTAATCCGGACACCTGGAAAATTAAGTAGATTTAACCTAAGTTAAGTTGTAATAGTTATAAAATTAGATTTATTTAATAATATTTAAGCTTAAAAGTGGGCAAGAAACTGGACCAATGAGAAATTTCAGATCCTATAGATTCCTGGAATAATATTAGCCTGATTTTCCCAGACTTCTGCGTGGGAAAACCTTTAATTTATTTACCAGTTTTTCTGCCCCATAAATAATATTAAATATCAAATAAGAATTGCTTAGTAGACAGTAAAAGTCAATTAAAATCAAGCAAAACAACCATGAAAATAATATTAGTATTTATTTAGCGTACCCACCCCCCCGGCTGACAACTTATTAAGAACCTTTTAGTTATGCATATTAGGTCAATATTTTCTAGTTCATTAAGGAAATGGTCTGTAAGCCCGTCCGTCGATATGCATATGAGCCAGACCGAAAACACCCTCAGCTACAATGCACGTGTGTCTCTCTATTCGTGTGGTGTCCCCGAGGTTTTCCTTTGTGTAGGGGTGTTTCTATGCGAATGTGTGTGCCGGCGGCCTAAGGGTTGAAAATTCCAGACAGCCGAAAAAAAAAAACATAGAGAACATATCAGAAGCCGGGAAAATCTTGGCAAAAAGTAGCGGCAAAACAAAAATCATAGCAGAAATATAGGGCTAACCATTAGAGCCCGGCAGCTAAAAGTATGCAATGGTATTTTTTTCAACCGACTCTTAAGTCACAGTGGCGTCCCCAGCGAATAGAAAAGCCGGCAGACCGGAACAGCTGGGCGAGTATTCTCTGGGTTTTTGGTCTCCGGCCATTTAGTTTTCTTTCGAACGGCGAGGCGTTTGGACGCGCACGCGGATTACCAGTCGTTGGAAATATCAATGAAAAGTAATTGAAAATCGTGTCTCGAAATCACCCACGCCGGGAGCTTCTTTTTGACTTCAGGCAGCTGCCGCCAAAAAAATATATTTAAAATAAAAACAAAGTCGGCGACGCGCGCCTTTCGGTGTGTTTTCCCTTTTAGCCACTTACATATATACATAAAATAGTGTTTTGCCTTTGCTCTTCTGTTCTTTTTGAACTCGAAAAACTTATTTTCGTAGTCCAACCGTCGCTTTTCAGAAATTGCTGCGCGTTTAGTTTTTGGCGGCGTTGTCGCCTGTTGTTCTTGTCCCTGGCACAGTGTTGAATTTAAAATATTTTCATTTAATTTGAAAAATAAGCGAGAAAGAGAGAAATAAAAAAAGATACGATTAAATACGTTTTCGAATTCCCTGGCGACAGTTGGCCACATCTGAACAAGTGCCCGTGTTGTTAATTTATACAAGTCTATGTATGTGTGCGTTTGTCAGTGTGTTTGTGCGCTTTTTGGTTAATGGAGAACGTATATAAATAGCAAATAATAAAACCATAACAAACAAGAAGCTACGAATCGGTGATTAACTCAATAATTAGCCTAAGCAATTGCCAGAAGAACAGAAACATTATTGAGCGATTTTCGGATACTTTTATGGCAGTCCTGGCCATATCGAATGGAAATGTTATTAATATTTGCATTTTGAAAATGGCAATGTTAAGATTTGGTTGTGAATTTGTAATGGAAAAGAAAAGTTTTGAGAAAAGTTGGTGTTGGAAACTATACTACGTTCTGGAGAGAACTTCTTTGAGAACTTTCGTTTTGGATGTCTAAAATTTTACTGAAAACAACACTTGTATTGTTGATTTAAACCTAAAACCTCTTAAATAGGATATTATATGATACTGTATAAGTCTATATACTATATTCTTATTAATTATCATAAAACTTCCTACATATATACTAAAAACAGAATTGATTTTTACTTAACTTCTTAATACATCATAACTATTTTTTGGATATTTTAAAGGAACTTTAAATACAGTTCTTCTTAAGTCATATATATCCCTTAAATATCTTTTATAAATCCTCCAAAAAAACCTTCCTTAAAGCTTAGTCATCAATCATTTCGCACACCAAACCCACTGACACACTGAATCAAACCCACTCACAGCCGTGTGATGTCATCTGGTTTGGTGGCTTCTGCGGTCATCGGTGGCAGTCAAAAGACGAAATTAAAAGGGAAAATGATGTGACTTCGTTACCCGCCAAGGACTTCGTTTGCCTTCGGTCACGTGTTGCATTTGCCACCAAGGATTCTCGTGATTCTCGTTCCCTTGTGTTAGGGTCAGAAAAATGAAATCATCAGCTAGGAGAAGAGAAAAATCAATGAAATTGTAGGGAAACACAACGATAAAACAAAGTTTTTGGGTTGACTGACTGTAAAAGTGCAATTTTCGTGGCGACTCGCTGACGCTGAGACTGCCTGGCGACATGGCCCTGGCATATATATGAAACTATGAAAAGGACAATTGCTTAATGCACTATACCCTATCCCCTGCTCCATTATCCTTTTGTTTGTTACCCACACATAGACACTGTGCACTCGGGTAATTTAATCAGCAGAACGCTCAATTGACGCCAGGATAGTAGAGATAGGATAGTAACCTTGGTAACTGCAATTAAAGGGCCTGCGTGTGACCACTTTTTCCGCCCCCTAATACCAACTGCTGGGTTTCTGTATGGGGGAGGCGAGGCAGGCAGCAATTTGCTGTAATTTTTATTGACATTTTTATTTTCCACCCATGACGTTGGCAGCAGTGGCAGCCCACTTACCATGTTGCAACTGTTGCGTTTCCTTTTTAGCATTTGCAACCTTTTTTTCTTCTTTTTTTCCAGCCCATTTATGAAGTTTTTGCAGTGGCAGACGGGCCCCTTTTGAGCTTTTATTTTTATGGGAATGACCTAATAGTTGCTTAAATGGGTTTATGAGTTCAGCGACCAAGTGGTTAGTGGGAAGGTATTTCCCAAAATGGCCTTTTAACAAAAAGCAATTATCTAATTGATTCTTTAATTAAATTAGAGAGAGTTTATTTACATAATATAGCTACAAGAATCTTCATTCTTCTCTTTGCTTTATTTCAAATTCCCTCTAAATATTTTTTCTTATTTCATTTTGAGTACAAAAGTAGCATATCAAATTTCAAAATCAATCCTTTGTCCTTCTAGCAACTTTTTAAGTAGCTTAAAAAGAGACCCCAAGAATGAAATCTAAGAATGCAAGATGCTTATGTTTCCTTTTTCTCAAATGTATGTAAATCCTTCGACCCTTCTGCCAACCATTGACCCAAATACTTCCACATATTTCCAGATCTATCAATAAATTAAGCAATTTATCATCACCCTAACTTACCATAAAGTAGCCAAAAAAGTAACAAAGTTATGCGTGTGGGATTTCGACGAAAAAATACCGATGGGGTGAAAAACAAATGCCGGTACGCTGAGACGTAAATAAAAAGCAACCACCCCTTGGCAATAAAAGTGGGAAATCGGCATTAAAACACGCCGCCAGGCGTTGCCGTCAATCAAGCCAAAAATGAAATCTACGCCGAAAGAAGGTTAAGAAGCGCTGTTAGAGGAGTCAGGAAACCACCCCGAAAGGTGGATTGTGTTGGGAACCACCCTTAGGAAATCGTTAGACACCAACCCTAAGAAAGTCTAGAAATTTCAAGATATCTCCACCTTGCTAATGTCTTTTTGCCTTACTTTCCAGTTTTGTTTGCTGTTTTTTGATATATATATACCTACCTATATACCTACAAAAAGTAAGAAACAAAATATACACCCGCATCGTCTGTAGCTTGAACTTGAATTTTGCAGAAAGCCAAAACGAGTGGATGAGGTAGTGTGCCGATCTTTGCGGACAAAAACCCGACAAACAACTTCGGAGCTTAAAACCGGCAGACAACAAGACATTCTAATGGCAAACAATGGAGCTACACCAACACAAAAGCCCATCAATGGGCCAGAGGGGGGCACATAAAATATATATATAGGCGTTACCTACCTTATATTGGTATGGGTTTAATTTGAAACACAAAACCCAAAAACAAGCTTTAGATATAAAGCATTCGAGTGTGTCCGCCGTATATGACATCATTTTGGCGTCATCAGCGATAACCTCATCATGATCTTCCACTGATCAGATCTCTCTCTCTCTCTGTCTCTGCTGGTCTGTCAGTTTATTTGCCCTCGTATCGAAATTATGTTAGCTAAACTTAAATTCTGTGCTGAATTTTTCCAGAATTTCAAATTGCTCATATGTATAAAGTGAATGGCTATATGTTGTGGGTGATATTGTCGACATTTTGAGCTCATCCATTCGCACATCTGGTGAGGAATACTTTCAATATGCTGTGTGTGTTTTTTATATACAACGACATGGCATGTGGGCAAATAAACGGATCCCTAGTGACCAAAATAATCTGAAAGGAATAAATGAAATCATAAGAAAGGCAGGGAGAGGGGAAGACAGGAAGTAAACATTTAAGTTTTATTGTTGTTTTTTGGTTCATTAATTGTTTATGTTTGTTAATTTGGTTTATTTACAGTATTCTGATGTCACAAAATGGGAGCAGATATAGGGAATTTGTTTATTAGTTTTCAACTTTAAAATGTTGCTAAGAATCATTATGATTTTATAAGAAGAAGTTACGAAGCTTTCAAAAAGAACTTCTGCAAAGCATTTTGGCCACTCAATAAGTATTTCTTCAATAACCTTCACATCTTATTTATTTATGTTCTTTATATGTAGTTACCACTGTATTTAGTTTCTCTTTACATGCCCCAAACACTATTGCTTTATGTGTGTCAAAGCTTTAGCAAGATGCGGATGACTCAGAAATGTCGTCGCCTCCTTCAGGCTGTCTCAAAAGATATATATACCCAAAAATATCTATATATATATACTGTACCACAGAGAGCAAGATACTTTCAGGCTATTTCGGCAACTGTCATGGACCCCCTAGCATTTACAGTAGCCGCGTTGTTTGTTTTTATTTATGACGCACTACTATTTTGGCGGACCAACGAAACTGGGGCAAACTTTTGTTGATTCTGTTTTTTGGTTTTTTGGCAAGCAAGTCGTAGGGTTTGGGTCCTGCAAACATTACCATTAAGCTAGGCAGTTAAATGCCACAGAATTTCAATGTCAGACGGCGCCATTGTCAGGCAAAAGTCGACGAGAACTGCCCACGCCAAATAAAATAGGGATTATTTTCTGTGTCTTTTCTTGTGGTTGTCGCCGTCGTCTTTGTCGTTGTCGTAGACAGACAAAGGAAATGTTGTGAGGCAATCGAGAACATGTTCAAGTTAATGCTGCACATTCGAGGAAATGTTTTCCTGTTTACGAGTATCTGAAGCCGCTTGAATGACAGGCCAACGTCAAAGCCAACTTGTAGCTACAAATGTATCTTTGTATCTCCTTTTGCGGGCTGGCTGGCTGGCGCTCTTGGGGGCCGGTTTCCAGAATTGCATTTGCTGCCATTGAATTGGAAATCAAGTTTTGAGGAAATGTCTGCAGTGCGTGACTTGGTTGGCCAAAAGATCCTCTCTAGACTTGACTCCGGGTCGTGTCAGCGCCACTGGGCTGCCCTGACTTTGATTGCCAACTCCGAATTTGGCTTTCTGTTGTGGCCCCATATTGCGCCTGCGGCTGCGCAACACTGATGTCTCAATTGTCGGCGCCGTCACTTGAATTCTCTTTTCGGATAACGGCAATTAGCCCACTAAATAATTAATTGAAAACCGAAACTTAAAACCATTGCAATTACAATTCAATTAAATTCGAATTCCATGTCGTTCCAATGGCAAAAATTGCAAAAGTATTTTAAAAATATGTTAGAAAGCGGGAAAGAGGGGGTTGGCTGGCAGAAATATTTTCACGCTGCATTAAAGCGTTCCAAATGCATAGGAAAATACGAGGTTATATGCAAATATCTCATACACTGAGTCAGCAATCTTTGGGCATGATATCATTATTTGCTTGATGGTGGAAAATTGATTTAGAAAATCTGAAAGGCATGGACGTCCTTCATGACCAGTAGCTAGACTAATCATAAATTTTTCAGCATGAAATCATCAGTTATGGT